TCACCTTCTCTACATTCAGAGGAACTGAAACAACGCAAAGTGAATCTTCGGTCTCTGGAAGGCATAGGTTAGAATGTCTTTGCTGGCCTGTGCAGCTTTCAGAGTGCAGCAATATGTTTCTCCGGTCAACTCTGTAGCCTTCTCCTTCCGGCGCTTCGATATTTGCCTGTATTTTACACCTTCGGTAAAGTTTGGAGATCGCAGTAGGCTGCGGTTGAAAATAGACGTTTTAATTTTTCCTGTATGTTTGCTCTCCTCTAACTTAACGTTTTCCATAAAAGTGCTTTTAATAGTGTGTTGAACCTGAGTTCTAAATTGTGCACGAAGTTTGGAGTTGAGTTACGGAGGTCAAGAACAAGGAAACTGCTTTCAGGTTTCACAATGAATTCCCGTTTGCTGACCGAGCGGAACGAGCTACTGTAAATTGGCTACCGTGGCAGATGGACAAGCTTGTAAAAGAGAGCACGAATGCTACAAACAACCAGTACACTGCAGTGCTCAAGAACCCGAATTTCTCGCTTCTGAATCGCCACTAAAATCGAATTTCCAGAATGGTCCATTGAAACCGTGTAAGGCTGGTACTATTACTTAAAGAAGATTTGACGATGATTTGAGGACAGTATATGAAAACACTGCGAGGCAGGTACGTCATTATCAGCCTTAGTTTACCAAAACGATACCTGCTGCAAACCTTTCCCCACATCCAACATCCCAGTGATACTTTAACTATATGTTTTAAATTGTTGAAGATGCTTATTTCAAACAACAGACTAGAGTGTAATTTTTGACGTAGGACTACGTCTTTAATTTCTATACTGGGGTACACATTGTGAAAACCGAAAATGGAACATGAAACAAAATTATGAAAGATTTTGAACATTAATAGCTCAGCTGCCCCTGGATCAATTTCAATAATTTTATCACCAATCGATCAGAAAAATGTATACGCAATGCTTCCAATTGATCATTTCCAACAAGAAACTATTGAAAAAGTGGTAATGTCAAGCATTATCCAAAGTACAAATAAAAAGTGATAATTTGTTCACTGTTTTCATGAAATAAACGTTGTTCCCAAACGCAGTCGTCATAATCAAGCTGTCTAGCCTCAACTCATTTTCGCTTCGGACGCCGTGGTGAGCAGACAGCAGAAGCAGCAAAAGCAGTCGTCTGGCTCGCCATGAAGGTGTCAAACGTGTCTTCGGTCTGATCTACGAGGTGTGCTGAAGGTGTTCTTGGAAAATGAGATCCGTGATGCTGCCACCTACACTGAACACGCCAAGCGTAAGTGGCCATGGATGTGTCGTCTACGCTTTGAAGCGACAGACGAACTCTGTACAGTTTCGGAGGTTAAATCCTCACCAACTTTGGCAACAAAACGGTCCCTTTCTGGGCTTATAGAATTTATCTGCCAGTTGGTCCATATTCAGAACCACATACCCCCAACGACCACACAAAATGCTCTCCAGAGTAGTAATCTTGTAACCAAACTTGGAAGCAGGGGTGCAAGTGATTTTGATCGATTCTCTTCATCAAATTTCTCTTTGAAAAAAAAAAAATATTACAAATTTGGCACGCCTACAAATCAAAAACGGAAAGAGTTAAGATAATATATGATCGATCAATTAAAAGAACTAAATTTTCTTCACATTTGTTCCGTGCCCTAGCGGTCCTACGTCAAGCTCCCATTCGTGCCCATAGGCACAGACACAGACCCTTCTACTTTTATACGATAGATGAGGGGATGAATGTATAGAGTTGATAGTTCCTGTAGAGTACGGCAGTGTGTAAATTGTATTTAGAGAGTGGAAAGCGAGCAAGGACAACTTTTTAGGAAGGTACAAATCGGTTTGATCATCTCTCTTTACCAAACTCCCCCGTTGAAGAGGGATGGTGAGGGGTATTACCCCCCGCAACCACTGACAAAAAGAGATGATCACCGACACGCTCAAGTACCGACGATGTGTTTGGAACAGTTCTACCGATTTTTACCGCACTCAAGTTGTTATCTGAAGGAAGGCATCCAGTCGTAGGTTTGGAAATTGCAGCTATCGTTAGCTCTACCACGGTATGTGCTCCTGTCATCATCGACTCTCTATATAAACAATTTCACACTGCTGTACTCTAACGGAACTATCAACTAAAGGGTGTCCACGATGAAATTGCCACACACAAAATTGATTCGCAAAATTCGAGTTTTCATCCGATTGCCATCAAATTTTCAGGGATTGAGAAATAACTATTAAACTTCATTTTACCATTTTACTCGTATTTTATTTACAGTCCATACGCAAATGCCCGCACCTTGGCCTTAACCCCGGCCATAAGATTCTGCACAACCTGTGAATCAACCGTTTTTTGCATGTAAACCCATACTTTCTTCAGTTCCTCGACTGTCTTCACTACCTTAGGTCGTTTAAGAAGGTGCTGCTTCATAATCGCCCAGTACTTCTCGATGGGGCGGAGCTCCGGAGTGTTGGGAGGGTTGAACATTTTCGGCACGAAATTGACCTTATTGTCCGCATACCACTTCAGCACGTCCTTGGAGTAGTGGCATGAGGCCAAATCCGGCCAGAAGATTGTTGGGACGTTGTGGGCCTTCAGGAGAGGAAGCAGCCGCTTCTGGAGGCACTCTTTTATGTACACCTGTCCGTTCATCGTGTCCTGGGTCACGAAAGGTGCACTCCGCTTCCCGCACGTGCAGATGGCTTGCCAAACCAGGAATTTCTTCGCAAATTTGGACATCTTCTGAGTGCGGACATGCTCCGGAACGCTGAACTTATCCTTGGCCGTGAAAAACAGGTTGCCGGGGATCTGTTTGAAGTCGGCCTTCACATATGTTTCGTCGTCCATGATGCAGCATTCAACTTTCGTCAGCATGTTGAGGTACAACTTCCTGGCACGGGTTTTGGCGGACTTGTTCTGCTTCTCGTCGTGATTAGGGGCCTTTTGTACCTTGAACGTTCGAAGCCCAGCCTTAGTTTTGGCCTTCTGGACAAAACTTCGGCTTAGGTGCAGCTTCTTAGCCACATCCCTAACGGAGGCGTTCGGATTTCGGTTGAAGGCCCCAACTACGCGGTTGTGATTTTTGGTGTTGTACGGAATACTTTTTCCTTCACTTCTGAGCTTCCGATCGGTGGTCAACCGTTCCTCGAACCGCTTAATCACTCGCGACACCGTGGAATTCGCGATTCCCAACGTTTTAGCGATGGAACGATGCGAGAGATCCTTGTTCTCGTGATGAATGCGCAAGATTTTATCACGCACGAGCTGTTCTTTCGACTCCATTTCCGCGAGTTTTGATCACAGGACTTTAAAACTTGCAGGATGTAAATAATGCACTATGAACTAAATCCACCCAAATTTTCATTAAATTCTACCCAACGGTTAAAAAGTTAGAGCAATTTCATAGTGTGGCAATTTCATCGTGGACACCCTTTAATACTTTCGTCTCCTCATCTATCGTAAAAACTACCACTCTAGTAGTCTGTTATTTGAAATTAGTATCTTCAACTATCCCAGTGATATCTCGGGGAAGTGCAGAGGACTTCTCGGTTTCCTTCACAGCGAGTATTACGTCAACACATTCCTTCTTATTCACTATTTGACCTGCATTCGGACACGGCCCATGCTGGTATCGATGTGCGGTAAAAGAGGTGAGGAGAAAGGAAACTAGTGGACTCTTTCGTTCTCGCGTCTTCTTATGCAGCAACAGACGTGACGTCACGTCTGCTGTTGCATAAGAACACCGTCAGAATGAAAGAGTCCACTAGTTTCCTTTCTCCTCACCTCTTATACCCCACATCGTGCTGGTATTGCTAGATATTAGATCTCCACAATGAGGATGAATGTTAGTCCCAAACATCATCTGTTGGTTCTCTGTGATCAGGGGGCTGTCAAATGTCATTTTCAATGAAAGATCTCACGCGATATTTACAGAGATACTTCTGTCACTATCATTGAATGAGAAAACGATGAAAGAGATTTTCTTCAAAATCTCATCGAATTTTTTGTCATGACAGAACGTGACAGTGTGGTGATCATCGTAATTACTAGCTCATTTAATGCTATTAAAGTTACTTGTGATATTTACCAGCTCTGTCTGTGATGATGAGCTAATTGTAGCTTATCTGGCAATAACAGAGCAGCAACCGTGGGCGGTCAGACATGCTCATGCTCATGGTAAAGGTTGGATCATGGTAGGTGTGACCTTGAAGTCTTTCAGGGTGTTTTGCTTCTCTGAGCAAACCGGCTCCTCCCGCGAGGAACCAGACGAGTTGCGGCAGAACTGAGTATCTGGGGGCACCTCAACCTTCCACTTATCCGTAAGTCTCGCACAAGGGAAGATCAGCATCGGCGGAAAGTAGTATCCTGTTGCGGACATACAAATGCACGGTGTCGAAAGACACCACACTCTGCGGATGTTATGCATCCAACTTATCGCCTTCCCTATAGTGCCAAAACTTTTGATCTTTTGTTTGAACCTATACGGAATGAATAAGTTAATACTAAATAATAGCAATATTATATTTTCATATACCGTCATAACAGAAGAACTTGCCCTTCTCCATCACATCCTGCATAGTATCAAAATAACCATATACTGCAACTTGATTAGAGCCTTGGGCACGTGCTTCTGGGGATCGCAAGGATAGCTCCGGATGACGTTTCATAAATCCATAGAACCAGTCGTGCCCAGCTAATTTAGATTCCTTGTCGACTTGATGTTCTACCCCATTCGTTGGAATGCCAAGCTCCGGATCTCTCTCCGTAACTCCGTAGAACATTTTTTCAAATGTCAATTGTCACCTTACCGGTGAGAGAGAGAGTCACTTGACTCACAGAATAGGGGAGATTGATACTATGCGTACCGCATTCTCATACTAGAATCTGTGTTAGTCTATGGTGCTACTAAATCTGTCCCTTGGATTCTCAGTCTTTACATTGTATTTTTTTTAAATTTAACGAACCAACTAATAGGAAATTCTTTCGTTCTACTTCAAACAAAAAATGATCTACCTGCATAATATGCTCTAGTAGCGCTCTATTTACCGTACATTTCCGTCACTCTACGTATTTTTCGACTTCTGCTGAATTGAACTCAAATTATTTCGCTACCGCCGCATTGTTCAATTGTTTTCCTGTTCCACTACAATAATTGTGATTTTCTTTTCTCATTAAAGGCAATTCTTTTTCAATGTATCAACGTGTTTCTAGGTTATGTGTGGCAATTGTGTAGTGAGTTTCGTGTGTATGTGTTATTTTGGGTGACTATCATTCGCATAATGCAAGTTTGGCTTCCCGACTAACTAGTTCTTTCGTTCAGCGAAAAATAACATATCTTACATAGGTAAAATCTCATGCCACGACCAATTCTTACCAATAGCATTTTACTTTCTACGTATTAGTATAACTTTTACGGAAACACAACAAAAGCAGCCATTTCTATCAAACTAGCGAGCCTCACTATTCGTTATGCGTTTCCGCTACCAGCTTCGTGAGTTTCCTTAAATGACTCTGACGTTTGTACGCTCTTCCTGTTTATGTTTTTAGTAAAGTTCCAACTAATCTCTTATACAACTTATATAATTGATTTCAACGCCTATAACACACTCTCGCTCTTTCGAAAAAAAAAAATTCTGCTGATTTCTGAGGGGTTAAAAGCATAATCGGTTAAATAACTAGCAACAGGTGTATGTGGGTACTTGGGAAGGACTCTGCTTATTGCTTTCGGGAAGGTTTACACAATGTTAGGAAAAGTGGATTGCAAATTTGAGCAGTTATTTTTTGTGTATCTACAAATATAAAGAAAGCTCGCTTGTCCATGCAACCAAGCAGCAGCAATCTACCAAACTTACCTTAAATTCGTTTCGAAAGAGGGAATTTCAGAACCTAACCTATCCCACATGAACATGACAACACAGTTAGTATCTAGCAAGGGACAGCTGAAGAAAGCGTGTGTTTGCAAGAAAACTCTACTTTTGATCGGCTTCCTTGTCCGAACTGGCGGAGGCCCTAGCGGCCTGCTTCTTCTGATCGTCGCTGTCCTCGTCCGAGTAGTCCTCATCGTGCGTGTGTGTCACGGAACGGGGCGTCTCCGGGCGGGTATGCGGTACGGAAACGTTGCCAGTACCACTGATCGATAGCAGAATCAGTTCCTTTTCGGTGATGGCCTGCAAGCAGAAAAGAAAAAGACGAGCGGAAAAAAACGTGTTGAATTATCCGGATTTTCTTTTTTCGGTCGTACTCTGTCTAAACGGAACATCTGTAATGAGAGAAAAAGAGAGTAAGAAAGAAATAAAAGAAAAGAGAAAAGTGAGTAGTTTTGCTCCCATTCCTACTACTATTCCACTTAACCTAGGCAGATACGCACATTTAACGTCTGGGGAAAGGAGAATCTGCAATTCTTTCAGACAAAATCCACGTATCTGTCAATGGGTTAATACAATACAATAGAGGAACTGAAAGGTAATTACTCACTCCTCTGATTAAAGCTAATTTAGTGTGTTTATTCCAACTCGAACGTAGACCTGTAACGTTTTTTCAATGGCTAAAAATTGTTACATCATTTTCAAGCGAAAAAAAGGTAATGCTATTTTAGGATTAGGGTTAAAAATCACACCATACTGATAACTTCCAATTTAGAGTATAGCTGTCAAATTTAGCACGATAAAGAAAGGGCAAAAAGTTGATTGTGGAAAATTTCAGATGTTTCCAAAAACAATTTAAAAGTCCTTTAACACAAACTCTAAACGTTCAACGAAATATTCTCTTATTTATGTTTTCCACTATAGAATTTGTTATTTATTCCTCACTTAACATCATTCACTGCCAGACTGTTGAGTCGTTCGTTCGATTGCGTTGTTCCGTGTATTCTCGCGTTGAATAGAGACGCTCTCGCTGACCCAGCCATGGGTAAAAAATCGCGCGATGGCGAAAGGGGCGGCAATCCCAGGAAACGGTCTAGGTCTGAAGACAACAGTGACAGTGCCGCCCTTCTACGTGAAGGGCTTCCCTCCCGGACTACGGGAAAAAAATAACTTCTTCATCACGCAGGGCGTCCGGTGCACCATCCAGCTGTGCACGGAAGGATACGAACTGATGGTTCCGGCGTTCAAATATTACAAGGCGGTACAGACCATACTGGTCCAAGCACAGGTGGAGTACTTCTCCCACGGCATCGAGGCTGTTAAGCCGTTGAAGGTGGTCCTGCGCGGACTATACGGCATGGACACAGGCGTTCTCCTGGAAGAGCTGGTGGCTAATGGACTGAAGCCGGTCCAAATTCACAAGATGGCCCGCTACAACAAGGCCGTCAAGTACCGCGACCAGCTATTCCTGGTTCACCTTGAGAAGAACTCAACAACATTGATGGACCTCCAGGGCATCCGCGTCCTGTTCAACATAGTGGTGAAGTGGGAGCGGTACAAGCCGGTCAGCCGTGGAGTCACCCAATGCTCGAACTGCCTGCTGTTCGGGCATGGAACAAAGAATTGCCATATGGTCAGCCGCTGCATCAAGTGTGACAAACAACATCAAACGGTGCTGCTCACGAAGCTACAAGCAAGACCTGTCCGAAGCGCGCCGAGTACATCGAGATCCAGAAGAAAACATCGACGAGAAACCAGCCCGGCCGCAAGAAGGTGCCAGAAATTAATGATCAGAACTCAATCAACGATTGGCTGCTGCTCGTACCGCTGCTACTGCTACTCAAGCTCAAACTGCCGGAGCCCCCGCAAACTCAGGTCAACAGATGACTGTTGCTCCACAGCCGTAGGATCTCCCAACAGCCTCTAGGCTAAACTGGCGTCAGGATGGACCGTCCCTAGCGCAGCCTGAAATCAACGATGGTTCTTGGTTCACCGCAGCGGAACTAATGATCATCTTCCTTAAGATGCACGACATTGCCAACACCATCAAGAACGAACCCGACCAGCTCCAAGCTGTGGCTACCTTCATGCTCAGTTATGGATCGTGAGCTCATCAAAATCGCAAACTGGAACGCTTGCTAGCTCAAGAGTAAAATTATCGAGTTCATTGACTTCCTCAACGAACTAGCATCGACATCGCTATCATCACCGAAACTCACATGAAACCGGATATGAACTTATTTATTCCTGGATTCCGGCCCGTGAGGCTGGATCGGACAAGCTCTGGTGGTGGTGGAGTGGCCATCGCTACCAGGAACAACATCTGCTGCCGGCTGCTACCCAGTTTCCAGCTGAAAATGGTTGCAGCATGGGGAGTGGAAGTCTTCACGCCCGTCGGCCCCGTCATGATCATTGCGGCCTACTGCCCGAAACAAACAAACGCCAGGGCCATCCGCGGCAGAGGGATATTGTCAAGATAACACGACGCCGTACAAAATTCATCATCGCTGGCGACCTGAACGCCAAACATCTAGCTTGCTGCCCACCAGGAGCTGAGTTCTGACCACTATCCGGTTGTGGCCGAAGTGGGCTCATCCGTAAACCGATTCCAAGCTTCCCGGCGCAACTATCATCGTATCAGCTGGGATCAGTTCCAACACTGTGTCGACTTCACTGTCGATTACGGTGTCCTTCCGGAGACACCCGAAGACGTCCATCGAGGAGGCGATATCCCGGGCTAGGGAACAACACGTGCCAGTATCCACACAGCTGAGCAACACTCTGACCCATGACAGATCTACCAAAGACCTTATAGACTCCGTAACACCATTCGAAGGCAGTACCAACGCTCTGGTCTGCCTGTCCTTAAGACCCACTGTAATCGCCTAAAAAAAACCATCCAAGCCAGGATGGTGGACTATTGCATCACTAACCCCACTGGATCGTTACGGCGACCCAGTGGTTCATCTGATAACTCCTGAAGAGAAGGCTGCCGCGATAGGTCAACACTTCGTCAGCTCCCATAATTTCGGACAAAACATCGTCAGCCCTCACGAAGCTGAGGTTGCTGAAAACGCACCCAACCTCCATCAGATTCCTATTATTTTTTTCCGAGGAATTAGAGATTACGGCTGACGAACTGTTGGCCTATATTAAATCATCTAAAAACATGAAGGCCCCAGGTTTCGACAACATCCTGAATCTGGAACTCAAACACTTGAGTTCCAGATTCTACAACCATCTGGCACTGATTTTTAATCTGTGCCTCCGAATTGGCTACTTCCTCTCGTGCTGGAAGTCAGCTAAAGTCATACCTATCTGGAAACCTGGGAAGGATCCGTCCTCTCCTTCAAGTTATCGACCAGTCAGCCTTCTCTCAGGGTTATCAAAACTGTTCCAAAGAGCAGTCTACCACCGGCTCCTAACAGCTGCCTGTTTTCTCGAGGAACAGTTTGGTTTTCGGAAAGGTCGTTCGACCAGCTGACTCGAGTAACAAACATTCTCAGACGGAACTCTGTTTCGAAAACATCTGTTGGACGTTGAAAAAGCGTTCGACAATGTCTGGCATGATGGCCTGGTGTTCAAATAGCAGCAGTACGGTCTTCCACAATCTTCATAGTGAAGATAACAAATAACTATCTATGGGACAGGACGTTCCGAGTCTCTCTGGCATCACATCGGATGCTTTCAACATCGGTGCCGGGGTTCCACAAGGAAGCATCCTTGGAAGCTCTCCCTGATGGTGGATCGTTGTCTATGTTCGCAGATGACACATCCATCGTCTACAAGGGGAGGGTCATCGGAGCTCTGACTGCCAAACTTCAGAAAGACCTGGACGCCTTGTCTGAATATTTCAACAGCTGGAAGATCCGTATCAATGCGGCAAAGACCCAGGTCATCATCTTTCCACACTCTAAATCTCCCAGACTTGTTTCGTCGGTGAATAATAAGATGGTGGATTGATCGAAAGAGGTAGTCTACCTCGGTTTAACACTAGACAGCAAGCTGATTTGCAGGGAGCACGTTGACAAAACCAAAACCAAGTGTAACATCTTGATAAGATCACTGTATCCACTCATCAACAGGAGGTCTACTCTATCGCTCGAAAAAAAAACTTTCTGTCTACAAACAAATCATCCTTCCCGTAATCGACTACGGTATGCCAATCTGGGAGAGTTGCGCCAAATGCCATCACCTTACACTCCAAAGAATCCAGAACAAGGTCATTAGGATGGTCCTAAAATGTCCCCCGCGGACTAGAAATTCTGAGATCCACCTCCTGGCTGGAATTCAGACATTAGAAGAACGGTTCAGAGACACCTGTCTGAGATCAAATCATCAGATCATACGTGATCTAGCACGTTAGGTTAAGTTATACTCGTAGTTAGATAGGTTTTCACTTTATTTCAATTCAAACAAAACACACCCCCCAATAGGGGTATTCTGTAAACTAGTTTAAAAACGCAAATATTAAATTAGAATATCAAATTAAACAAAGATGAAGAGCCAGGTAGACTAACCAATTAAAATGTTAAATCAATGTACTATCATAATCAACAGAAATAAACATAATTTTTCTAACTAATACGCACTTAACACCTTACTGGACTCCGTACTTTGGTCTTCTGAAGAACCATCTCGTGGTTTCCAAAGTCCACATTCCGGTTCCAGATTCAAATTTAGTCAATCACCACAACAAGTGCTAGAATAAGTGTCATGAATTGACCATTTTTACGGATGTTCCGGATCATCCGGAGGACCACCCCAAGTCCACCAAATTCCGGTCCCAGATTAGAAATTCGTTCATATATCACCATCACATGTGATCTCAAATGAAATCGCGGAGCGCTAGGACGAGTTTCATGAATCGACCACTTTTGCGAATATTCCGGATCTTCCGAAGGACTGCCTTTTGGCTTATGGCTTGTCAACCAAAATTTGTCATTACAGATTTAATCGTATATGATGCCAAACCCAATCGTTCATGATGAAAATGTATGGCCTATATGACCTTCGCTTTTGAATTTTGCCTTGCCTAGACGTTGATGGTACCTCCTAGAAGGGACGAAGCAAGTTAGAACTCACAAGCTTACGTAGCTCGTTAGACTGCGGTACAGTCTCAAAACGACACACGCCGTGTAATCAATCCCAAGTGGTAAATACTTACACTAACTTCCTTGGAAACATCCTCGTTCGCGGCATTCTGCTCGGCGTTGGGTGTTCCTGGATTTCGGGACCGTGTCCTCTGGATCATCGGCGCGTCCAGTGTGAATCGCTGCTCGTGGGCAACGGTTGACTCGTGCGGCAGCAACATGGCCGGCGCTCGGAACATATACGAGAAGGGATAGTACATCAGGTTCAGGATGGTGGCCGCGTACAGATCGGCGTATCTGACGACCTGCAAGCAGAATTAATCGGTAAGGTTGAAGTATGAAAATGTTCGAGTCCCCAACAAACCTGACTGGAGAAGAACGTCTGCCGCGAGCCGGATCGGAACAGCGAACCCATCATACCGTAGGCCAGATCCATCTTGTGTGTCACGTCCCGAATGGCCGTCCGTACTGAAGAAATGTCCGGCTTCTCCTTGGCGCTGGAGTCCAAATTTTTGTACAAATCTCCTAGCTTCACGTCCAGTCGCTGCAGCTCGGCAAACAGCTGACACTTGTCGGTCCACACATGCAACTCCTGAACCAGCTCCGGAATGATCAGGAACGTACGCCAGCCGCGAATTTTCTTACTCTTCAGGATATCGCCGAAGATGTGATCTCCCACGTACAGGACGTCCTTTCCTTTGGCTCCGATCAGTTTGGTGAAGACATCGCAGGACCCACCGGAGTAGACCTGATTCACCTGCAGTGGTCCCATGTGAGTTCCGACGCGCAACGCACCGGTCGTGGTGTCCACCTGGCGCAGGATGGTTCCCTCACCGAAGAACAGGGGCTTCCGGGCATCCACCACAATCGTGTCGAAGTAGGTCTTCCAGTCCCGATGAGGTTCCTCCGGTTTCGCTCCGTGTGGGAAGTCGAACAGGAAGGTCATGATGCGGTCGGTGAATTTGTAGTCGCTGTTGGTCAGCAGGAATAGCTTCGCTCCCGATTCACGAATGCGGGACAGCACCATCGGTAGCCGTTCGTCCTTTTTGACGTATTCGTCGAGATTCTGGTCAAAAGATACAAGCAGTTTTTTGTTTGACGAAACATTGAGGTTATGACAGAGTTCAAACTAACCTCCAAAGTATTCTTCTTGAGGTCACCATAGATGTGTACCCAATCGACGGCTCCTCGCACGTCCTGGAAGATCGACCGGAAGGACATGAACAGTTCACCGTACTTGACTCCAGTGCGGTCCACCTGTTCGGCGTACTGCGGCGAGTTGGTGAAGAAATCCACCAAACAGGCCAACAGGTACGTCTCCGGCAGGTTGAACAACGTGTTCAGCACATACACGCGGCTCTCGTCCAGCTGGAGGAACTTGTTCGGGTACAGTTCGTACACCTGGGAACTGAAATCGATGGAAATGGAATATTTTCATGATATTGGGTTCATTCAAGACTCAAGAGGTACTGACTGTTTCAAGAACTCGAATCCATGCACGCAAACCAGGATGTTACCGTAGGCGTCCACCTTCAGCAGGTTTCCGTAGAGGCTGTCGAACCAGAGGCCGCGCACCGGGAACGATGGATCGTACTCGAACTGGAGGATTTCCACCGGGTAGCCCAGCGTCACCAGGCGTTCCTTGACCAGATTGAAGCCCAGCTGCTCGTACTGCGGCGATTTGTACTCGGCAATGGTGTAGTCCATGTCGAAGCCATAGAATTTGATGTTTTCCAAGTGGAGCGAACGGTTGACGAAGATTCTGTAAGCAGAGAAAAGGAAGTTTCGTTTTAGTCGCTATCGGTGGGATGTGGGATCTACGAATGCTACGAAGGATAACAAAACAAATGTTTTCTGTGCTAATCGTAGAATGATTTCTCCAGTTGATCGAATGTATACAAAATGAGTGCCCTACTGTAAGTTGACTGTCAATATAGTAAAATAACGTATTCAGATTCAATCAACATTCGATACTAAATAATTCACGCAAAAAAGCAAACAATAGAAGCTTTATTCTTGGAATGAGTTGCCTTTGAACTCAATTCGATTATTTAAATTCCAAAAAAATAACTAACATCTACCCATTCCCCAATAGACGACCCCTTCCGTCATTACAACACCCTAAACAGGGAAAGGGAGCAATTCTCCACCCTATCATTCAATCCCGAAATTGATTAGATCATCTTGGTACGCGCAGACGAGCTTCACTGTTGCCCCTGCCTCAACAAAACATAACGGAACGGAAGGGGACAAGTTGAACGGAGGGCAGATTGCCAAGATTCCATCACAAAAGAAGTGCCTCCGAGACATTGCTGTTCGTTAATATTGCATCGTAGCGAAGACGGCCTATCAAAGAAGATTGGCCACATAATCGCACCATCTACCGTTCAAAGGTAAAAGCTCCGAGTAAATTTGATAGCGAAGATTCCAAGCTCGAAAACCTTTCCACCACTCACAGAACTTCAGAATTTACTATGGAAAATTGATAAAATTTTCCAATATTAGGAAAGACTTGATTTAGCCAAATTTGAGTTTGGTCAGATTTTATACGAATTGGCATGAATATGTTTCTTGAATACTGACACAGTTGTCAGTCTTCTTGATATGCTGTCTTCGATCACAGTGTAGCATGCAACTTCTTTTTTATTCAGGAACCTAAACGGACGGACAACAATTTCATTCAATTTCGGCACACACGTGCTTTCGACAGTTTCATTGCCAACAACAACAAAAGACAGATTCCTCTTAAAATCAAAGGTATATATACTTGTAAGAATGTACCCGTACCAAAGATCCCTTTCTCTTCCGGCGGCTGCTGTGACGTGAGATAAGCTTTTCTCGTTTGACGCTTGACGAAAGAATTTTCCAATAATCTCTTAATCCGAAGGGGGAAAATGGTAAATGAACCTTTTTGAACGCCAAATGACCAATTAGAAAAATTCGACCTGCTCTAAATTGCATGAAACTTTCCATAATTGTTTGTTATAGGCAATCATTCACATTTTTGCTAAAATTCGGCCACTTTGGATGTTGTACAATTTTCAAAAAGGGCGTATTTGATTTTTTTGTTACGAAAGATTACGTCTTTCGGCAACATATTGGGGGTGCAATTTAAAAAAAAATCCAAAATCAACCGCCTTACGAAAAGTGGTTAGGTTTTGACCACTTATAACTCTGTCAATATTGGATGGATTTGAATTCTAAACAAGCCAATCGATTGGAAATTTTTCTAGGAATCTGATAAAATGAACATTTGATCAATTTTCAATAGGTCACTATTGAAAATTACACAAATGTCCAACTGTTGCATTTGTGATCAAAATTATCACCGATTGCCTACCGGAGATGAACTAGCCATAGACTAAAAATCTCCTTAATAAAGAATTAAAAAAAAACGATTGCCTGCAAAAAGCGCTCTCCCAAACACAGATTTTAAAATCGAATTCCATCCGGTCTGGCCGAACGGTGCTTATTCATGGTGGTGTTCGGTCGGTCGACATCAGAAAACGAGGCGAAAAAGTGCTTTCCCTAACACAGTCGCCGAATATTGATACCGAGCACGTAATTCTACGTCAAATCTACGGTCGTGTCTTGGATATAACCTCTTACTTTTTCAAAACATTGTAGCATGGAAGCGGCATTTCTGATCGACATTTTAAATAAAATTTTGCAATATCCAAAATGGCCGAATTTTAGCAAAAATCTGAATCATTGCCCACGAACAATTACGTTTCATACAAATCAGAGAAGGTTGATTCAAAACTGCTCAAAATCAGCTATCTTTCAAGATCAATATCACCTAAAATCACAGGCACCAATATCACAAGTTATCATCACCACGACCCGTAATTTTTGACCAGTATCAGCTGTGATTTTCGATTCCCAAAATCAACCAGCATGAATATCAACCACGATCTGTCTGTCTGTCTGTCTGTCTGTCTGTCTGTCTGTCTGTCTGTCTGTCTGTCTGTCTGTCTGTCTGTCTGTCTGTCTGTCTGTCTGTCTGTCTGTCTGTCTGTCTGTCTGTCTGTCTGTCTGTCTGTCTGTCTGTCTGTCTGTCTGTCTGTCTGTCTGTCTGTCTGTCTGTCTGTCTGTCTGTCTGTCTGTCTGTCTGTCTGTCTGTCTGTCTGTCTGTCTGTCTGTCTGTCTGTCTGTCTGTCTGTCTGTCTGTCTGTCTGTCTGTCTGTCTGTCTGTCTGTCTGTCTGTCTGTCTGTCTGTCTGTCTGTCTGTCTGTCTGTCTGTCTGTCTGTCTGTCTGTCTGTCTGTCTGTCTGTCTGTCTGTCTGTCTGTCTGTCTGTCTGTCTGTCTGTCTGTCTGTCTGTCTGTCTGTCTGTCTGTCTGTCTGTCTGTCTGTCTGTCTGTCTGTCTGTCTGTCTGTCTGTCTGTCTGTCTGTCTGTCTGTCTGTCTGTCTGTCTGTCTGTCTGTCTGTCTGTCTGTCTGTCTGTCTGTCTGTCTGTCTGTCTGTCTGTCTGTCTGTCTGTCTGTCTGTCTGTCTGTCTGTCTGTCTGTCTGTCTGTCTGTCTGTCTGTCTGTCTGTCTGTCTGTCTGTCTGTCTGTCTGTCTGTCTGTCTGTCTGTCTGTCTGTCTGTCTGTCTGTCTGTCTGTCTGTCTGTCTGTCTGTCTGTCTGTCTGTCTGTCTGTCTGTCTGTCTGTCTGTCTGTCTGTCTGTCTGTCTGTCTGTCTGTCTGTCTGTCTGTCTGTCTGTCTGTCTGTCTGTCTGTCTGTCTGTCTGTCTGTCTGTCTGTCTGTCTGTCTGTCTGTCTGTCTGTCTGTCTGTCTGTCTGTCTGTCTGTCTGTCTGTCTGTCTGTCTGTCTGTCTGTCTGTCTGTCTGTCTGTCTGTCTGTCTGTCTGTCTGTCTGTCTGTCTGTCTGTCTGTCTGTCTGTCTGTCTGTCTGTCTGTCTGTCTGTCTGTCTGTCTGTCTGTCTGTCTGTCTGTCTGTCTGTCTGTCTGTCTGTCTGTCTGTCTGTCTGTCTGTCTGTCTGTCTGTCTGTCTGTCTGTCTGTCTGTCTGTCTGTCTGTCTGTCTGTCTGTCTGTCTGTCTGTCTGTCTGTCTGTCTGTCTGTCTGTCTGTCTGTCTGTCTGTCTGTCTGTCTGTCTGTCTGTCTGTCTGTCTGTCTGTCTGTCTGTCTGTCTGTCTGTCTGTCTGTCTGTCTGTCTGTCTGTCTGACCCTAATATCTTGAAAACGCTAAAAATAGCATTGAATTTCCCTAGAAAGCCATAATAGCCAGCGTGCTGTTGTTATGGGTAGTCGCGTGTGGGACATTCAGAAATTCAAGTCAGCATTCCAGATGAAATTTATGTGATAGATTTCAACCCAAGATGGTTTCCACAAATCGAAGATGGCGGCCCAAAATCCAATATGGCGGCCTTCAAACAGCGTATATGCATCCAAACCCATGCAATATGGGTATCTACCGAATGGGCTGTGAAATCTACGAAAGAAGAAATAAATTTTCTATTTTAGTGTGTAAAATCTTATTTGCAGTACACTTTTTTTCTAGATAGTCCTTTCAAATACCTTCCATCTGCAGGAGAAAGATCGAAAATAGTTTGAATTGTTTCAAAATGGCGACGGATGTTGATTTTCCACTTCTACTCATCGAGCCCATTCCATAGATACTTATTTTGCATAGATTTAGATGCATATTCGCTGTCCGGAGGCCGACATATTGGATTCCAAAATGGCGGCGGATGTCGGTGTCGTGATTGGACCGAGGTTTCCAGCCTTAGTCACGGTTCCACGAATCCGCCGCTTCCTCTGTTGGTCCGCTAGTGCCGCTATCCCTTCTGCTGGTGGTCCTTTACGGGTCGTCCGCTCTCTCCACAATTCGTCACAAGACTGCCGTCAACGAGCTTAGGCACCTCATATTTAGACCTCTAGCTGTATCAAAATTCTCGACCTAATCAGATTCCGTATACATACGATCTATCATGCTTCACGCTCACTCGATTCTACTCATTTCTATTCCACGCTAACTCTATCTACTACATTCTTCTACTCTCCTTAATTGAGGATTTCTCCTACCCTCTCCGAGGAATTTCTTCTACCTTCTCGGAGGAATGTCTTCTACCCTCTCAGAGGAATTTCTTCTACCTTCTCGGAGGAATTTCTTCTACCCTCTCGGAGGAATATCTTCTACCCTCTCGGAGGAATGTCTTCTACCCTCTCATAAGTATTTCTTCTACCTTCTCGGAGGAATATCTTCTACCCTCTCGGGGAAATTTCTTCTACCCTCGGAGGAATTTCTTCTACCCTCTCAGAGGAATGTCTTCTACCCTCTCAGAGGAATTTCTTCTACCTTCTCGGAGGAATTTCTTCTACCCTCTCGGAGGAATGTCTTCTACCCTCTCAGAAGAATTTCTCCTACCTTCTCGGAGGAATGTCTTCTACCTTCTCAGCGGAATTTCTTCTATCCTCTCGGAGGAACGTCTTCTACCCTCTCAGAGGAATTTGTTCTACCTTGTCGGAGGAACTTCTTCTACCCTCTCAGAAGAATTTCTACTACCTTTTCGGAGGAATATCTTCTACCCTCTCGGGGAAATTTCTTCTACCCTCGGAGGAATTTCTTCTACCTTCTCAGCGGAATTTCTTCTATCCTCTCGGAGGAACGTCTTCTACCCTCTCAGAGGAATTTGTTCTACCTTGTCGGAGGAACTTCTTCTACCCTCTCAGAAGAATTTCTACTACCTTTTCGGAGGAATATCTTCTACCCTCTCGGGGAAATTTCTTCTACCCTCGGAGGAATTTCTTCTACCC